GGGCTTTATGAACAACTTCACATTTCCTAAACTGGTGGCTCTTCGCTGCTGTTCCCACACGTGGGCTGGTGGTCACAAGACAGGTAGGTGGCTTCAGGTGGGCTGGCCCCAAGGGACCCTGCCTCTGTACCAGGAGCCAGATTTAGCAGCCCCTCCCTGTGTCAGGGCTACAGGGACTGGGGAAGCATGCCGGTGGCCTGTCACCCCGGACAGGGACGGCTGAACCTCTCCTGAGGACCACCCCTCAGGGGCAAGGCAGGCAACACCAGAGCCAGTGTGGAGCCAAGCCATGGAACAGAGAGGGGACGGACAGGTTCAAATCCTGGTTCTGCTTCTGCCCACAGCCTCCTGCACACATGCAGCCTGGGAGGCAGCAGGGGATGGTGCAAAGACTTGAGTCTTGCACCCACATGAGAGTCCCAGGCTCCTGGTCCAGCCCCAGCTTTCACAAGCAGTTGGGAATGAATCAAGGGGTAGGGGCCACTTTCTTCCTGGCTGGCTTTTGAATGAATTTTAAATCTTTAAAGTAAAGGAGAGGGGAGGGAAAACACAGGGATGGGAAGAAATGAGCCCCGCCCACTGTCTGACCTGGTCCCCTGCCCCCTGCTCCCCTGACACCAGAGTTCCTGGAGAACGTGGCGGCCATCTATCAGGACCTGCTGTCAGGCAAGAACCCCAACACGGTGATTGTGCCAACATCGTCCAGCGGGCAGCACCGCCAGCGGCCGGCCTTGGGCGAGGCCAGCATGCTGGAGGGAGTGGAGGCCTCACTGTTCTACCAGTGCCTGGAAAACCTGTGTGACCGGCACAAGTACAGGTAAGAAAGCAGGCACTCCCGGGGCCACCCCAGCCCCCGGGAACACACGGGCAGGGAGCCTGAACAGGTCCCCAGTGAGAGGCCATGGCTGGTCCCCAGATTCTAGAGCCCTGGACACTCCTAGGCGGGTTGGAGCTGTGCCCTGGGCTGCTGGTGGGCTGCCAGCTTCCCAGGCAGGGAAGGGCCTCCCCGGAGGAAGGGCTGCTCCCAGGGTTAGTGGTGAATCCCGGCTGCACTGCTTCCAGTGCTGCGCCCTGCTACTGCACCTGGGAAGGCAGTGGAAGATGGCCCAGGTGCCTCCACCCCTACACCCACGTGCGAGACCTGGATGGACTTTCAAGCTCCTGGCGTCGGCATGGCCCAGCCTGGCTACTTCAGCTACTGGGGAGTGACCCAGCGCCTGGAAGCTCTCTCTTCGTCCCTCTGCCTGTCACTTAAATAAATGCTTTGAAATTGTCTTAAAGGGAAAGTTCGGCAGGCTGTGCGGCACAGCATCCCCTCAGGGACAGGCCAGCCGGCTTTAGCCATCTGCTGTGGCCACTGTCCCACTGCACTCGGTGAAACGGCCAGCCTCAGCCTGTCTGACCCACGCCTCGGTATTCCCCTTCAGCTGCCCACCCGCGGCTCTGGTCAAAGAAGTCCTTAGCAACGTGCAGCGGCTGACCTTCTATGGGTTCCTCGTGGCCCTCTCAAAGCATCATGGGATCAACCAAGCCCTAGGTAAGCTGGAGCCCGTCCCTCCCGCCCAGGGAGTGGCTGATGTGCTATGCCCCAGCCCGAGCCCATGGGGCTTCCTCTGCCGGCCGGTGGCCTGCCAGGCTCTGCCTGGACACGAAGCAGCCTGGCCCTCATGGCGGCCTCCTCCCCAGCTCTGTGGGAGCGGCCTGCCTGTAGATTACATATCAAAGAGCCCGGCATCCCATTTATAACCAGGGGGCCAAGGCGTGTCTGCGGAGGCCTTGCTTCCCAGCTGGTGAAAGCACTAACCTAAAAAAGCGGGAACCAGCTGGCCCAGTTTCCCAGTTTCGCTGTCTGGTCTCCCGCCCCACTGGTCAGCCTCCATGCACTCTCCTGCCCCCTCCATCCGGGCCACCTTGGGGTTCCTGCCTGCACAGGTCTAGGAACCCCTCCACCAAGTGAGGTTGGTAACCAAGGTCACCAGCCAGCCTTAGGTGTCGGAGGTCGAGGGGGAAGTGAGAGGGGTGTTCTGCTCCCCTACTCCCAGGAAACCGAGCCCCACCCCTCCTGTCTCCCTCTTACAGCTGCCCGGGTGGGGGAAGGGGAGAAAGACTGACTAGCAACTTGTCAGCCTGCACCAACCTCCCTCACTTCCGCCCAGCCCAGCGAGTGCCTTCTGAAGATTCTCACTGCACAGCCCGTCCCTAGGCGCGAGCTGCCTGCACGTGGGAGCCTGAGCTGCACCCGTGTTCTCTGCCCGCACCTGCAGCTCTAGCCCTCTGATGGGAATCTGGGCATGCCCTAGTGGAAGGAAGCCACTGGTGGAAGCCACTCCCTTAGCTCCCAACGCACCCAGGGAAAAGGGAGAGTTCCACAGAATCTGGTCTGCAAGCCACTAATACAGCAAAAGGGGCCAGGAGGCATCCCTAGAGACGTGAGGGGAGGCTGGCCAGGGGAAGAGAGCCAAGGGTAAAGAAAGATGGGGTGTCTAGGGTTGCTGAACCCTCCCCTCCCTGGGTGCCCCTAAGGCCCTCGCCCACTCCATTACTGGCTGCCCCAGGAACCTCTTCCATCATTGAGAGAACCGCTGTGCTAAGCAAACCCCAGCTCTGAGGCTGGCTTGGTGTTCAAGCTCAGAGAATGGGCCAGGGTCTGCCTGGCCTCCTGTGGCCAGATCAGGCTGCCCATACAAGAGCACACCTCACTGGGTCACCGCTGGCCATGCCCAGGTCCTTTCCAACCCCGTACTTGGGGCCTCAGGAGAGCAGCAGCAGCTCACAGTCCAGCAAGACATCTGGAAGGAGGTGACCATTTGCTTGGGAAACACCTACCCAATCTCCAGGCACACCCAGAACTTCCTGCTGTGACCATTCTGACCCCTAGAGCAGCCTTCCCCAGTGTCAGCAGACATGGAGACCCCTGCTGCTTGGGAGGAAGGTCCCAGGACTGAGCTCCACACCCCACAATTATCTCCCAGGAGCTTTGCCTGACAAAGGGGACCTGATGCACGACCCCGCCATGGATGAGGAGCTGGAGCGGCTGTAAGTGGCAAGATGCTGCCCCCTTGTGGGCATAAGGTCACCCCGCATGGGCCCACAGTACCCTGGACTGGTCAGGGAAGGGTTTGGGGATCCAGAGGCCAAGGCCTGGGGTTTGTCCATGTGCAGGAGCGAGCGTGGAGGCCCTAGTCTCTGCCCTCTGGGCTCTTTCCCTTTCAGGCTGGTCCAGGTCCCAGGCCTAGTCAACTCGGTCACTGCCACACCTGAGGCCAGCAACCTGCCTTCCCGGACCCCTCCCCGGGTTGGCTCCCCCTGGAGACCCCTCCACCACATCCGCAAAGTGGACGCTGAGAGCGATGGCTCCACTGAAGAGACAGATGAATCTGAGACTTAAGAGTCCAAAAGGCCCTGTGTGCACCTGCTCCCTTGCTCCAACCGCCCTAGTACTGCCACCCACCTGCTTTGCCCACACCTTGCTGTCCTCTGCTGGTGAAAAGACTGAGTAACAGCCTAGCCTACAGACCCGCTGGCGTCAGCCCTGCCCACCCCTAGGGCGCCAGCCCTTGGACTTCAGTCCAGTCCCAAGCTGGCAGGCTGTGCCGAGACCACATGACCACTGGCTGGGACCTCTTATGGGCAGCCATCCAATCCTCCTGAACCAGAGCAGACCTTGCGAGCCTCTGCTGCCCTCTAGTTGGGCTCACTTCACAGCTGCCCTATCAGACAGAATAGAACAACATTGTGGGGACCCTGCACTGTCAACGCAGCTCTTAGGTCGGCACAATTACTGCAACAGCCACAGCCGGAGGAAGGGTGGGTCAGGGGACGGTGCCACAGTTCCACTCCCCAAACCTGCTTTAGTCTCCGCTGTGTCTAACAGTCAAACTTATGAAATGAATAAAGCCCTTTTGTGTGTGTTCCATGGTGAGTCTGAAGCCACAGGCCCAGGGTGAGAAGGGGCCGAGCACTGGACTGGACTTGTCAAGCCGGAAGACCTTGAGTGCTGCTGGGGACCTTGAGGCCTCCGGGAAACTGGCTTAGAAGGTTCCAAGCCTGAAACTCAGCTTGGCAGTCTTCTAGCCAGGACTCTACTAAAAACATCAGCCAAGCACCTGCTAGGGTGGGGGCAGCCAGCCTGGCCCATCCCAGGCCTGGGGTGTGTGGGATTACAGCCAACACGGAAAGGAGGAAGAAACAGCATCATCTTCCTCAGAACCAAGGGGAGAGGGGGTGTGCCCTCACAAAGCTAGACCCACCCCAGGGCTGCCTCCCAGCACCAGGGTCACCACTACCTGCTGCATGTTCCCGGGCTTGCCCCTGCCCAGACAACACTGACTGCTGCAAGCACCGCTCCCAGAACACTGTGGTTAGACTACAGCCACTGTATGTAGCCCAAGTGCTAAGAACCAGTGGGGAGCTGGCCATGCACCAGCTGACCATGCATACTCCACCTGACTCCGCCGTCTCAGGCCAGGCCAGGGCTGCTGTCAACACTGGTGAGGGCTCCACACTCGTCCTGGGCTCAGGCCCACACGGTGCGCAACCACTGCCTGAACCCATGATTCCCTCTGGCCATGGCAATTCGGCCAAGTTTCTTATTTCTTAGGTGTACCATCTGGACTCCTGTAGTGGCATGGAAGTCTTCTAGAGCCCCTGGAAGGGACAAGGACATACACACGCACGCACGCGTGCACCTGGGACACTCACTACTCACTACCAGGCCAGGCTGTCAACGGTAACACAGCCACCTGCCCATCTGTGACAAGGCAGCTCCGCGGGCGAGTTCAAGTCAAATAATGCCAGCTCTTCCCTCTGCGTGTGACAGGGTGGTGAGGTCGAGGCTGCAGCGGACCCCGTGGCAGCACAGGGCCTTCAGCTTTCACAGAAGAGACGAGCTGGAGGCCCTGGGGAGAGCGTCCTCAGCACTGGCACCGACGCCTCTCCTGTGCCCGTGGGAGCCAGTGGGGTGAAGCCACGCCCTAGGACACCACACACACAGACCAGCAGGCCCCTAGCCCCGTGGGGGCTTTATTTTGACACCACTTTGTTTCAATACAAACAGTCCAGACAGACTCCTGTCCCTGTGCGGGGAGCTTAGGGGAGTGGTCTGTGTGGCTTGGGGACCCAGCCAGCTGCCCCAAAGGATCAGCTAGGCCTGGACTGCCAGCACAGTGGGGGTAGATGGCACCAGAGATGACACAGTGTGTGGCCCGGCTGCCAGATGGGAGCCCGCATGCAGCCCCTCAGGGTTCCCGCCCAGGGTGCGACCTGGCCCCCGGCTTCAGTCCTTCCTGCTCTGCTTCCTCGGCCAGTGCCGGCTCATAGCGTCCAGAATCAGAACCCAGGCCATGGACCAGAGACAAGTTACCCGGCAAGGAGACCAATGACCATGGCCTACAGGTGGCATGGGAGGTCTCAGAAGTCTAGCCCCCAAGCGACTCCCATCTCAGGGCGGGGGACGGATCCTACAGGCCACCAGCCTGCTCCCCAGTGAAATCCTGAGGTGCCAGCTGAAGGCTCTAGCCCTTAATGAGGCCCAGGGCCAGGCTCTCCTCCCGCCTGCCCTCCCCTGACGCCCGATACCCAGAGGCCACCGGCAGCAGCCATAGCAGTGGCCCACCCAGAGCCCAGCCCCTGCTGGGCCACGGGACAGAGTGCCACGCCCCCAGAGCCCTTGGCAGGATCCCGGAGCCTGCAGAAGGCATCCATTCCCTGAGGCAGGGCCGGGCCTCCCCATCCAGAAGGAGCTCCCTCCAGTGTGCAGGATGAGTGAGCAGCAGCTTTGGGGGCACGACTGGCAGGGCACTACCCACAGGGGAGGGCATGAGGGGCAAGGGTTCCATCCACAGGTACACCCTCCCTGTGACCCTCCAAGGCCACTGGGCACACCACACACACACACAGGTAACAGATGGGCCCCAGCTTCCAGAAGGTGGCACTGTGGCTTCTTGCTGCCATCATAACCGAGGCCTGGGCCAAGGCTCAGATCAGTAGGAACCGTATCGATCCTGGGTGGGGAGAAAAGCGAGAGAATCTCAGCCCCGGGCCCTGCCCAGCATGTACACCGCCACCCCCAACCCCAGGGGCCCTGCCAGAGCAGGGTCCACGTGGGAGCCAGGGTGGGAGGCCCTGCCCGACCTCACCGGAAGCTGCACAGGGAGGACAGCGGATGGGACAAGACAGGGATAACCAGTGCAGATGTAGCAGGTTCTTAGAGCAAAGGAAACTGTCCCTCCAAGGCCAAGCCCGTGTCCGCTGCCCCTGCTCTGAGCTGAGGGCTGCCCTGGGGCACTATCAGAGCTGGGTTGAGGCCCCTCCCAGGGCAGGTGGCCCCAGCCTCACCTGCAAAGAGTTCATCACCCCGTTGGCCAGCACAGCCATCTTCCCGGCCACAGACTTGACGCCCTGCTTAAACTGCGCGATGTCCGCTGTGGGCAACACACTGCCCAGAGAGCCACTTCCTAAACAGGCCAGGGAGCAGTGGGGTGAGCTGGGCCCTGCAGGGAGCCCACCCGTGCCCCACTCCTAGACCTCGCCCACTGCCCACCTGTGCCATGAACTCCATCGGCATCCCCAAAGAGGTCGGAGGAGCTGATGGCACTGCTGCCGGACAGTTGTTGCAGCCGGGACCTGGCTTCGTACTGAGGGAAGAAAGGCAGAACGTGGAGCACCAGCAGCTGGGGGCCTGACAGCCTCCCGCGCTCAAGCCACAGGTCACCTTGAGGCCCCCAACTCTGCTTACCTCAGAGTCCATCTCCCGCCCAAAGAACATGTCAGAAGAGATGGCTTTGGCTCCCGCGAACTTCTGCCGAGCTTCACTGGACTCGAGGCCTGAGCTCCGGCTCTCCCCATCCCTGCGGTTTGTGGCCCTGAGGGGTGGATGAGGGACACTCTGACCCTCCCATTACTGTCTCCAGAGGCAGCAGGGGCCTGTGGGGCCAGCCTCCCCCCTCACCCTGGTGCAGCCCTGCCCTTGGCCACACTGAAGTCCAAGCAGGCAGCACAAGCAGCTACACTGGGCAGAGTGGAAACAGGGTTTGGAGGGGCCTAGAACCAAGCCCCAAACCACAGCTTCACAACCTGGAGGCTGTTGTCACCTCTGCCCCTCACCCCTCCTGGTCTCACAGCAGCTCCCCACCACTTCTCCCCTCCCTGCTCACAGCCACTCTGCTCAGCACGGACACTCAGACGCTGGCCCCAGATGACAGAGGACGGGGGGCAGGTCTGGCTGCACTGACCTGCCAGGACCCTGCAAAGGCACCATGTGCCACTTGGGGAAACAGGTGGCATGGAGCCACACAGCAAGTAAACACGGCCCAGCTTGGACAGAGCAGGGCTTTAAAACCAGCAAGCCAGGGCCAGAGACCTGCCTTGGGAGGAAGCCAGGCAGGGCCTAACACGAGGCCCCTCCTGCCCGAGCAGTAGCCCCAGTCAGAGAGGCTGCAGGGCTTGTAGGTGCCGGGTGAGCTCCGAGTGGAGCCGGTCGACCGCACTTGGCCCAGGATGGTGGCTACTTAAGGGAACTGGGATGAGAGCCCATCGGGTATGCGGTTCTGGGCTGCACTGGCCCTGCTCTCAGGGGGTGACACAGAGCAGAACCGGCAGCTGCCACACTGAACAACAGACACACAGTACTTCTATTGCCAACAAGGTTTTACTGCACAGTGATGCCCCAGGCCACTCTACCTTTCCGACACTGGCCGGATGCTGGAGATGGTCACTTCTGGCTCCTTCTCCTCCACCCTGTCCATGCCCCAGGTGTTATCCGTATCCCAGCGGGACCCGAAACTGTCCCCTAAGGAAAAGGGGTTGTCCTTGTACCTAGGGAGACAGCAGAGCAGTTTGGAGAAGCCCCACGAACTGCCCACACCCATGCTCACACCCCCAGAAGCCTTACTTCGGGGGTCCAGAGGCCAAAGTCCCAACATCGTCAAACAAGTCCAGCTGTGAGCGTGAGCACTTGGCGGTCACGGGTGTCTCCTGCTCGATCACCTGCATCTCGGACAGCACCGAGTGGGACACAGAGCTGTGCGGGGGCAGAGCTAGGTATGAGGCTGTGACCCGGGGGCTCCACCCGCCCACCCTCCCCGCGACGGAGACCCGGGCAGCACCCCGGGGCTGTCCACCTGGCAGCTTGGCTTCCTCAAAGCTCAGCTTTCCTCCCCTGGGACCTTCTGCCTGTCCCAGCGACAGCGCCAGAGAGAAAAGCCATGAGTGCTGTGCCCTGAGCCAGGCTCATCACTGAAACAGGGACACAGAAAGGACCCAGGTGGCCCAAGGACCAGGGAAGTGAGCCCAACAACACCAAAGGGTGAGTTCAGAAGGAGCCTACCCCAGGAGCCTGGCGAGGCCCGCCCTCAGTCTCACAAGGGGAAGCAGCAGCCCCACTTCTACGCCTATCCTCTGCCCTCCTCACAGCAACTGTCAAATATTCACTTGCTTCCAATACATTCACTAGGAAACAGGCAATGCTTTTAGCTGAAAGAACCCAAGAGTACATTACAGATGAGCTGTATAAGGCAGCCTGCACCTGGTAAGGTGCCAAGGGGACACATGGCATGCCCAAACCCGCGGCAGAGACTGGGGTCCATTCCCAGCTCTCCTTGGTTTGTTGTTGTTTTAAAGATCTGAAATGTAATTAAGAAACTGGGAAAGAAACAGAGTGAGATTTTTCATCCACTAGTTCATTCCCCAAATGGCTATACAAGCCAGGGCTAGATGAAGCCAAAACCAGGAGCCTGGAACACCATCCCAGGTATAGGGTCCCAAGCGCGTGGACCGTCTTCTGCTGCTTTCCCAGGAGCACTGGCAGGGATCTGGATGGGAACTGGGGAAACAGCAGCCATGACTTCAGACTGAGCTCACAGAGGATGCTAGCAACGCAGGCAGCAGTTTCATCCCCTAGGCCACAGGCTCTGCCTGTGACTAGGGTACAAGCTCATCTGTGCCCCGGGAGGCAGCATCTAGCTCCTGTTCCCCACGTGGCAGACCCACCCTGAGCTACAGGCTGCCAGCTTGGTCCCAACTCAGCCCTGCATTGCAGGCAGCTGGGCAGGGAAACAGTATCTCTCTTAACAGAGCTAAAAAAAATTTTTTTAAAGGGCCTGGTATGATGGCTCAATTGACTAATCCTCCCCTTTAAGCACCAGATCCTGTCCCAGCTGTTCCACTTCCCATCCAGCTCCCTTCCTGTGGCTTAGGAAAGCAGTCGAAGACAGCCCAAAGTCTTGGGACCTTGCACCCACATGGAAGACCCAGAAGAAGCTTATGGCTTCAGGATCTGGCTCAGTTCCAGCCATTGCAGCCACTTGGGGAATGAACCAATGGATGGAAGATCTATCACTCCTTCTCTCTGCATATCTGCCAATAAATCTTTCCAATACAATAGATATATCTTTGAAAGAGAATCTTTTTTAAGATTCTGATGCACTGGGAAAAAAAAAAAAGCTGAATAATTATTCACATGCCCTTATCCCAGTAATTCCCTTCTGACCAAAGTGGGGGGTGGACGCCTGGAGTCCTTTCTGGGATTACCATTTCATGTTTCTGCTGATTAACTGTGGGTGACGCTGGCAGCACACGGCCTGAAGGGAAGTTGCTTAATACAACGGGAGCAGAAAGATTAAAAATACCCAGCCTGTCCGCCACCAGAGAAGGCTAAAAATAAGAATGTGACATCAAAGAGCTCTGTGTTCAAAACCTAACTCTAATTACTCTGCCTGCATGCAACGCTGAGGCAAGGAGCCTGCGTGCGGAGTACCTGCTCTCCGAGTTGGAGAACACGGCTTCAGCACCTGCACAGTCCACTGTGAGGAGGGCCAGCCCTCTGTCCTTGGTGGCACTGGTACCATGTACCACAAGGCCACTCCAGCTGGAACACTGGCCCTGGTACTACAAGATATCTCTAAAATAAAAAGGGGTAGGGGAAGCACAGCAGCAGCTAAAGTCCTCAACTTGAACGTGCCCAGATCCTATGGGCATCGGTTCTAACCCCAGCAGCCTCGACTCCCATCCAGCTCTCTGCTTGAGGCCTGGGAAAGCAGTGAAGGACAGCCCAAAGCCTTGGACCTGCACTCATGTGCAAGACCCAGAAGAGGCTCCAGGCTCCTGGCTTCAGATTGGTGCAGTTCCAGCCATTAAGGCCACTTGAGGAGTGAATCAACAGACAGAAGATCTTCCTCTCTGTATATATGATTTTGCAATAAAAAAAAAATTAAAATTGTAAAGGGGGTGGGGATTGGAAAGGAGCCGTGCAATGCCTCAACTAGTTAATCCTCCACCTCTGAGTACCAGGATCCCATATGGACACTGGTTCATGTCCCACACGCACCATTTCTCATCCAGCTCTCTGCCCGTGGCCAAAGCCTCGGGACCCTGTGCCCATGTGGGAAATCCAGAAAAAGCCCCTGGCTCCAGGTTTCACATCAGTTCAGCTCTGGCCATTGCAACCACTTGGGGAGGAAACCAGCAAACTGAAGATCTCTTTCTCTCACCTACTCTCCATAAATCTGCCTAATAAAAATGAATAAATCAAAAAAAAAAAGGAAAATTGAAAGGCAGAGAAACAAGAGATCTTCCATCTGCTGGATCAGAAGTGGAACACCCAGGAAATGAACTGGCACTCACATGGAAGGCTGGCATTGCAGGCATCCTGCATCATCACCTCATGACACCAGCCCCAAGATATGCTCATTTTTAAGGTATCAAAAATTGATCAAGGAAGTCTTAAGATGCTAACTCACAATGCCGCAAGCAGCATGCCCCTCAGAGCTGGCCCACAGTCCTTTGTCCCTGAGGCTGAGATGCCTGCAGGCACACATACCGAGTGTGGAGTTCCCTCAACTACCGTCCAGGATGCCTGCATCTGGTACCCAAGTGCTGCTCCACACCCAACTGGCTCTTGCTAATGCCCACCCTGGGAGGCCACAGACTTTGGCCCAAGTCGCCACCTCTGTCTCTACTACCCACCGAGGAGAGGCGGGTGGCAGCGCCAGCTCCATTTGGGAAGTGAGTCAACAAGCATGGGTAAGAAATCTGTCTCTTGGCTTAAATAAAATCTCACAAAAGAAAAGGAAACAGCAGCACAGACCAGCAGTAGGTCCCTAAGACCAGAGAAGCTGTGCACCCAAGGGGTCCTGAAAGGGGGGAGTGGGCATTCGGGTGTATCCTAGGGTCTGGTCCACATCCCAAGCTCCCGCAGCCCCGTCCGTCAGTGTGGCCTGCATGCCACCACAGGCTGCGCCTCACCTCCGGCTCACCAAGCCCATGCCCAGCCGTTCTGCCTGCTCTCGCTTCTTCCCCTCCAGGTTCTGCAGCTTCTTCTCCTCCTTCTTCCGATCGAGCTGGAGCTCCTGGTAGGCCAGACGCATGGAGGCCACCCTGGAGGGAAGGGCCCCGTCAAGAGCGTGCAAGCGCCCACCCCGTGCCCGCCCCTGGGAGCCCAGGCCCACAGCCTGCCCTCACATGGACTCCTCAGCTTGCTTCTTGGCATCCGCTGCCTGCTGCTCCCGGAGCTTCTCTGCCACCTGGGCCTGCCGCTCGATCTCACTGAAGCTCTGGCTGCTCACCTTCTGGGCTCCCAGGCCTTTCTTGGCCCCCAGCTAAGGAGAGAACCAGGTGACACGGCCCTGCTAGTCAGGATCCTCCAGCGCCCCTCACCCTGGGCACTGGGGTCACAGCCACAAAGAAACCTTCCACTTCAGGCCCAAACACTAGGGCCCAGACAGCCAGTAGTTCTGCTGGCAATGGACGGGAGGTGGTTCCCAGCACCCAATACAAGCTACAGGTGTGAGGAAGGGGTGAGGCGCCCTGCTAAGCCCTGGGTGTGCTCAACCACCCCTCCCAGGAGCCCCGTGAAGGCAGACATCTGAAGTTTCTGGGCAAGGGTCAGGGACATTCTGTGGCTAACATCACCCAAGCTTTAAGTGGTAGACTGAAGGGTGAACCAGCTAGGCTGACCCGGGTGCCTAACCACGCTGCCCCACGGCCTCTCCCCACCTACCCCTTTCTTAGCGGCAGCTGGCTTCTTCTTGCCGATGATGGAGCTTTTCAGTTCTGTGTGAGAAGGAGGGTGTCCGTGAGCCAGGGCCAAGATCCACACCAAAGCTCAGCCCACACCATGCCGTTCCAGGGCCCGAGAGGATGCCTTCGGGCAGGCAAGGGCAGAGCTGCCACCAGTAGCTCCATCCAACAGCGTCCAAGCCAAAGACAGACAAGGTTAGCGGCAGTTACTGGCTCGCAGCTCAGCACATTAAGTCAGGAACCTAGACCTGCAGCACCAGGGACAACCCAAGGCCCTGAACCAAACCACAACCAGCAGGGAGCAGAGGCCGAGCAAAACACGGCTCCCCAAGCAAGGAGTCCGCATGCGCATGGCCATACTCCCAGCTGTGGCTGGTTACCTCGGGCAGGAAGGGCCCCTTGAGGTGACAGGTACATGGACTCTGCAAAAGAAGCAGACCTGTGGCTAACACTGTGGCCACCAGGCGGAGGCCGCCACACAGTCCTGCTCCATACCAAACTAGCCGCCCCTCCCAGGGAGCCCTGGCGGGCTTTCCACTGGTCTCCCAACCCCCAAAGTCAACAGAGCAAATCAAGGTCAGCAGATGGACTGTGTACCCTGAATCAAGTTCAAGAGCAGAAACAGGAAAGATTGAAGGACAGGCCAGAGATGGTGCCACCTCTAGGCCTAAGCTGGTCAGAGCTGCTCTGCTTCATGAAACGGCAGACAAGCAGGCTCTGCCTCTGTTCCCCAGTGCAGGGGGCAGGTGTCCATCCCCCACTGGCCTCCTCAGACCCCAGGCCCTGCATACTAGCCCAGCGAGGCCCACCACCACAACATGGATCCCCCACTGTGGCGAGCCCATTGAGGTCTGCACACCCGGGCAGCAGCAGACCTGAAGAGTATTCCCAAGATCCCCCCTCGTGCCTCCAGCAGGGGTACTGACCCAGAGATGCCTTGGGCGAGGTGCCAAGCAGGTCCGTATTGGGGCCAAGCTCTGGCTCTACAGACACAATGAGAGAAGGATGTTCACATGAGGCTTGCAGCTTCCCACAAGCTCCCTTTGGGGGCACAACAGCATGAGAACCAGACCTTCCCCGGAAGGTAAAAGGCATGCCCCACCACCTCCTCCCAGAGGCTGACAAGAACCCAGCCCCTACACAACCCAGGAAGAGCCGCCCCCGACTGCCCTTAGCCACAAGGCCCTTCCTAGCCCCAGGTCCATGCCCAGGGTACACGGCTGTAACCCAGGCAGAACTCACGTGCCAGGCCGCTGCTCTCTGCAGGCAGGGCTGGCTGCTGGATCCCTGAGGGCTCCGAAGCTGGCATGTCCCAGGCAGGAGGCTGCAAGGAGGCCAGAAAAGAAGCCCCTATAAGCCACACCTGCCGGCAGGGGGCGCCAGGGCCTCCTCCAATACAGGACCGGGCACAAGGGCAAGTTTCCACCTGCCTCTGTAGCCTTAGAGCTGGAGTGCAGGACTATGGCTTGCCAACGCTCACTGGGCACTCACCATGCCGTGTGGCACTAACGCCTCCGCTGATCCCCATACGCCCAACAAGGCAGACCCTTCTCCATGCGAAACAATGAAGTTCAACTAAAGAGTCTGACAGCAGCATGCAGTGCCAGGAAGGGTCCCTTCCTCACTCACCCAGGTGGCCCACAGAAAAACGGAATCCTTCCACTGTCCTCCACAGCAGAGTTTGTCTTACAGAGAAAGTTGTTGAGGGTCCCAACACCTCCTAAGCCTTCTAGAAGCTTCTCTTCCTTCCTACCATCCCAGTCCATAGAAGTCCATTTCTGAGGGGACTGCCCTGCACATCCATTCAAAGGAGAAGGAAGTGCCTAGGTCTACCAACTCGGGAGTGGCCTGGAAGTCCTTGGTCACGACACCACACTGGCTGTGCCCTATAGTAACCAGAGGCAGCCTTGGCCCTGGTAATGCTCCCGCTCGCCAATGGCAGTGAGGGGAGACATTCTTGTGGGCACTCACCTGAGTGTGCTCCGTGAAGAAATCAGAGTCCTTTTTCTCTGGGGAGTGGCTAGGGGCGCCACTCATGCTGTCAATCCACAGCTGCAAAGGCAAGGGTGCCAATGAGCCAGGGCTCCCAGCACTCCCTGCCCCCTGTCCCCGCACCCCGCCAGGCGCTCACATCGGTGCCATGCCTGGCCAGGGCTGCGCTCCCCAGCTGCCGGATCTTCTCGCGGTACATCTGGGCTGCACGGCTGTTGTATTTGCTGTTGGCGTCGCTGACTGTGCATCCGTGCTGGCGGAAAAAGGCTGTCTGTGGCGTGAGAAAGAGGCGAGCGCATTACAGGTGATTCCAGGGGAGCAAAAACACCCTAGAGGGACGCATCCCCTCACTCCTAACAGCAGAGTGGACACATTGTCGGCAGCTTTTTCCTAGGAGTCAAGCAGGAGTCAAGTCCCCGAGAAATTCCTGGAAAAAATCTCCCACAGCTTCCACAAGGCCTCCATGGAGCCCAGCCCTGGTTCACCCCACCACACCATGGCAACCCTGGGCAAGCTCACAAAGCCACCCCGGCAGGTCCTTCCCCAAGAATACTTGTCCCATTCAGGTTGAATCAGACAAGAGCTGTGCCCACCAACCACGTTTGGGAGGGTGTGGAGGTGGTAAGTTGCCAGGGTGAGTGGCGAGAGCTGGCAGAAGACGCCTTACCGCATTGGCATTGCCGCCGACCTGCATACACCTTAGTTGGAACCAGCTCCAGTTTGAATCCAACTCTGTGGACCTGCAAACAAGGACTGTGTGTCACCCACTGGCAACACACCGGGAGCTGCACCTGCCCAGTCCAGCCTACTCACACCTGTCCTTGGGCGCCCAGGAGGCATGAGTCAAATAACACCCCATCTCCGTCCCTGACAGCTCGGCTTCTCCGTTCCCGCGTCCCAAGAATAATAATTAATAGCCCCAGATCTAAAAGCAGATCACATCCTCCAGCAAACAAGCCTGGACTTGGTCTTCCCCTTTAAGGGCAAGTTCCAGGCCCAGCAAGAGACACCCTGGGACACTTTATCAGCAATAGTGAGGTCCACGCCGCTCACTTCTCCCCCACCCCAACGTCCGGGGTCCCCCAACTCTGACTCCGCAAAACGGGAGTTTTGACCCAGCCGATGAGCCTGACCCCCGAAGTGGCGAGGAGAGCGCACACGGGCAGGTCCCTCCAAATCGCCCCTGCTGACCCCCACCTGATGAAGCTGAGATGGACGCCCAGGGAGCGATGCACCCCACAACAGTCGATGCACAGGAAAACCCCATACGTGATGCTGGCCCAACTTGGATTCTTGGCGCCGCAATCGAAACAGGCCTGCGGAGACGAGCAAAATGGGGCCAATGGTCCAGGGCCAGGAGCCGAGGTCGGACTCTGACACCCCCCCTCCTCCAGGACACCGCGCCCCCTCTGCCCCTCTCCCTCTCTCCTCCCCAGAGGAGGACCAGGCGAGGTCCCTGGCCGACCCGCGCGCCCACCCCGTCAGGCACCTTGTTCGTGGGAATCGCGCGGAGCCTCTTAAACAGAGTTTGGATTTCCGTCTTACTCGGCTCGACCGCCATTTTCTCTCCTTCCCAGACACAACCGCGAACGACGGGTCCTGACGCGGGCCAATCCTCGCCGGGGAATTACAGCTTCCGGGCCGGGTCTCAAATGCGTCCTGGCCAACCCCGGGGCGGGGCAACGGGGGTCGAGTCTGGACCAATCAGCCGTCGGCGACACACGAAGCAGAGACGTCACAGCCCGGGACTGCGCAACAGCCGCTGTGAAATAGACGTCGCGGCCGCGCCGGGCCAATCCGCAGCCGGGGCGGGGCGACGGCTCGCCGGGGCACCCAAACTTCCGTGAGCGCGGGCCGGGTGCGCATGCTCAACGAGACAGAGGGCGAGGGTTTGGCTTTCGACCGGCTTACGTTTGCCGAGTTTATAATGAACAGACCCATTTTCCCTCCAGTTCGGGGGGGGGGGGAAGACACTTAGCGGGCTTCGGCCCAGCCTCGAGCCGATTCCGACTCACAACCCATTCCACCCCAGATTAGGGTCAAGTTCCTTGGAACCAACCCTGGTCCCAGGGCCACCCTCTATGTGCCCTCTGGAGGCCTAGCCAGAGTACTGAGTGTCAAAAGAATGCACACACTCACTTGCAGTTTGGGGGAGCTTTTGTCAAATTTAATACACACTAGAACAAAACACACAAAAGACTGGGCTGCTTGGCCCAAAACCACGCCCACCCAGCCCACAAACTCTACCAGGAACCTCCCCCCCGCCCCGCAAACAGAGGCCAAGAACTTGGGCCCACAGCTCCTTGAAGAGGCCAGGCACCCAGAAACACGTCCATCAACCAGGACCTCCCGTCTTTAGCCTGGGCTCCACGGTCCTTCCCAAACCACACACCCTCCCCCGTCCTAGGTCCCGAGCAGGCTACCCTCCTCAGGGGACAGGGCTTTCTGTGTGTGGCAGTCCATGAGCAGCTGGGTTGTGACCCAGTGTACCAAAGGGCTCTGTGGGACCCTCAGGCACCCACACACTCGACGTAGTTGGCGGGGTATAGGCCGATGCGGCCACTCTGCAACTGGCCCTGGCACCAGCCCTGCTCGTCCTCCTCGCTCATCTTCAGTAGCTCTTCCCCTGGGGAAAGGGGGCATGGGTCAGTGCCTGTCGCCTTGGCCCAGTTGCTTGCCGTGCCTGCAACTGGAGCAGCCAAGGCCTGGGAGATGGGGTGGGATGACCAGACAGAGCGAGGTAGGTGAGTCAGCAGGCCATTGCGCCTCCACTTCAGAAAGCAGCACTTGGCGGCCAGACCCAGGACAGGCCGGAGTTGGGCTTGGCTGGAGGGGAACCAGCTTCTCTCACCGGCAGGGGCAGGTTAAGACCCGAGAAAGAACAAGGAAGAGGCCCGAGGTACCTGCACGGAAACTCAGCTCGTCTGCTTCTTGGCCAGCATAGTCATACAGTGCCCGCACCCGCACACCAGTGGCAGCTTTCCGGGGACTGTCCTCATCTGACCATTCTTCCTCCTGCCCACTGCTGGACACAGGGCCAGGGGTAGGGGAGTGGTCAGAAAGACAGAGCTTAGGACGCAGGGACCACCTCAACCCTTTGGGCCAAGGGCATCGCCATGGGAATGGTCCTGGAAAGGGTAGGTGTGCAGGAGCAGAGACTCAAGTCCCACCTGTGCCGCTCGGGCACCATCCTGGCCACACAGAGGCAGGGACAAAGAGGGGATACAGAAAATGGCCTGCCAACCTATGTCACTGTGCAGACCATCAAAACTGCCAACCTCAGCACCTCACCCACCCTGGGGGCTCTGGCTCCAATTTTCAATCCCATGGCAAGTGCAAACATGGAGTAGCAAGCAAAGGAGAGAAATGAAGAAAGGTGGGGAAGGCAGGTAGACGGGTGGGCGGGCAGAAGGGGACACAGCTCTCACCCTGGGGATCCCAGGGTCTGGGGGGGTGGGGGTGCGGTGCCATCTCTTGTGGGAACGATGCTGGTGAGAGTGACTTCATCAGGGCTGCGACTGCCCTTCTCCTTGCGGCTGATGGTCCGCTGTGTGTCCAAGGACCACTCCTATGGCAACGATGTCTGGGGTCAGGCTGGGGCAGGGATGACAGCAGCTAGGGATGCCCAGACCACTTTTCACCCAGTTGAACCCAAGCCCCACCCAAGCCTGCAGCACATGCCTCAAACTGTGGCCAGTTCATGGCCATGCCCGGTCCATGGGTATTGCGCCACCAGCGTAGGTCCTCCTCGTCGCTGGCCGCCTCGATCCCCTGATGCAGATCACGGTGAAGTTCATGGAACCTGTGGCCCAAGGTTAAATCCTCAAGTTATGGGGCGGGGCGGGGCTCTTGGGCCCTGGTGGTGATTCCTATTCTGCCGGGCCAGAACCCCCGAGGAGGTAGCGGGGACCCAGGGAGCGCTCCAGCTCGCCACGCCCACCCGCAGCCCCGTACTTCTCACTGCTGGAGAGGTCCAGGTGCTGGTGTAAGGTGAGCAGCGTATCCTTGAAGAAGAGAAGGCGCTGGCGTTCGGCGGCCTGGCAGCTCTCGAAGGCCTGTTCCATGTCCTCCATGTAGCGTGGTGTGTAGCGATTCAGCTCTGCCAGCGTCTGCTCGTACTGGGCTTTCGTCTGCAAGGAAATGGTTGTGGAGCAGGTGAGGACCAGGCTGCCACTATCACCCTCTTCCACCTAAAATTCCAGCTGGGTCTGGCATCTGGAGCAATCAGATGCCCAACAAGTGCCCCCAAGGAACCCCAACAGCTCTTGAAAGTCCAGTGGGAGAGTGGGAGGAGTTCACCTTCCCTACGCAGGGGGGAAGGATGGGAAAAATCAGAAGGGGCTTCCTGGAGAAGGAAGGGTCACGGGGCGGGGAGATGGAGAGAGGCAGGTCCTGAAGGGCCTCAAACCCCATTCCTCTCCCTGGGTGAAGCAACACCTATTGTCAGGTCCTCCTTTTAAATGCCCAAGGGAAGAGGGTAAGCGGCGAGGAGCCTCAGAAAGGCACGCAGCAGCCAGAGTCACAGGGCAGGCCTTGCCCTTGGCCTCTACCTTCTCGGCCTCTTTGGTGCAGCGCTCCACCCGCTCCTGCAGCTTGCGCAGCTGCTCCTGGGAAACGCTGCTGTCGGCCTTGGCGTGGCTCTCACGGGTCTGAGCCGTCTTCTCATCCTTCCTGGCTGCGTGGTAGCTCTTCTTGGAAGTTTCAACCTGGTACATGTGCACAGGGACCACTCTGAACCCCGGAGGCCAGGCCTCACCCCATCCTCTGCACCTGCCACATCCCCTGCCCCCAGGAGAGCCCCATGCATTCCTGCTGCCAGTCCCATCCCAACCCCTCACACACACATTCACCACCCCACCCCACCCCTCCAGGCAGGGCTTACCTCCTTGAGCCTCTTCAGCCAGGGCTTCTGGGCCTTGCGGAAGCCGTCCTCGGCAGCACGGCTCTCACGGAAGCCACCCAGCACGGGCCGGTGGAAGGCACCCCGCTGCCAGGAGCGTACACGCTCACTGTCCTGGCCTTGCAGCTTGTCCCGCACCTCCAGATGCAGCGCGCTGAGCCGCTCAGCCGCGGTGAAGAACGCATGCCAGGCCTTCTCCAAGGTGCCATACTGGGGGCCTGCAAGGTGGCACAGAGGCAGCGCTCACACGGAGCCCATGCCTCCCACTGGGGCCCACACACACAGGCGTGGTGTGGGACAAGAATGAACAGCACTGCTGGCTGCTGCTACCTGGCCCTGCACATGCACAATCTGGCTGAATCCTGGCCCTCACCGCCGCCACAAGGACGGTGCCCTTGTGGGCACAGAGTAAGACGGGCAAAAACAGGAAGGCCCGGGGGGGCCTGTGGTACAACATTTTAAGCCCCTGCTTGTAACATTGGCAGCCCATGTCAGTGTGCTCATTCCAGGCCCAGCTGCTCTGCTTTTTGTTTCTTTCTTTCTTTTTTTAAGATTTATTTATTTTTGGGCCCACCACGATAGCATAGTGCTTAAAGTCCTCGCCTTGAACACACCGAGATGCCATATGGGTGTAGGTTCATGTCCCGGTAGCCCTGCATCCCATCCAGTTCCTTGCTTGTGGCCTGGGAATGCAGTCGAAGATGGTCCCAAAGCCTTGGGACCCTGCACCCGTGTGGGAGACCTGGAAGAAGCTCCGGTCTTTTTTAAAAAAGATTTATTTATTTTTATTGCAAAGTCAGATATACAGAGAGGAGGAGAGACAGAGAGGAGATCCCGGCGCATGTAAAGACTTTAGCCACTAGGCTACTGCCCTGGACCCTGCTCTACTTTCAATTCAACTCCCTGCTAATGCACCTGGGAAGGCAACAGAAGATGGCCCAGGTCCCTGGACCCCTGCCATCCATGTGGGAGGCCTGGATGGAGTTCCTAGCTCCTGGCTTCCAACTGGCCCCACTCCAGGCCAGCTGTCATGGCCATTTGGGGCTTGAAGCATCAGATGGGAGCTCTCTCCCTTTATCATTCGGCCTTTCAAATAAAAAAATCTATAGGGAGAGAACTGACTGCTCCACTTCCCCTCCAGCTGCCTGCTTATAGCCTGGGAGAGAAGTGGACTCAGAACAGCCCAGCTCTGGCCATTGTGGGGGATCTTTCTCTTCCTCCCAATCTCCATAAATTTGCCTTTCCAATTAAAAGACAGAGAGAGAGAGAGAGAGGCAGGGAGAGGAAGAAGGAAAGAAGAAAAAGAGAAAATGAGAAAGAGAGGCCTGGGGCAATGACCCAGTGGCTGAATCCTCACTTTGCAAGCACCGGGATCCCATATAGGCACCAGTTTGTGTCCCGGTTTCTCTACTTCCCAACCATCTCCCTGTTTGTGACCTGGGAAAACAGTGGAGGATGGCCCAAAGCGTAGGGACCCTTATACCACCTGTGTGGGAGACTAGAAGAAGCTCCTGGCTCTTGGCTTTGGACCAGTCCAGCTCTGATCCAGACACTGGCTATTGCAGTTATTTGGGGAGTAGACCTGCAGATGGAAGATCTTTCTGTCTCTTTTTCTATAATTCTGCCTTTTTTAAATAAGGATTTATTTATTTTTATTGGAAAGGCAGATGTACAGAGACAAGGAGAGACAGAAAGGAAGATTTTCCATCCGATGATTCACTCCCCAAGTGAGCGCAACGGCCGGTGCTGTGCTGATCCGGAGCCAAGAGCCAGGAACTTCTTTCCAGGTCTCCCACGCGGGTGCAGGGTCCCAATGCTCTGGGCCGTCCTCGACTGCTTTCCCAGGCCACAAGCAGGGAGCTGGGTGGGAAAGTGGAACTGCCAGGTTTAGAACCAGTGCCCATATGGGATCCCAGTGCGTTCGAGGTGAGTACTTTAACTGCTATGCCATCGCGCCGGGCCCCATAAATCAGCCTTTTCAATAAAAACAAATCAATCTTTAAATATTAAAAAGGGGTGGGCACTCAGTGGTTCAGCTGCTGCTTGGGGCACCTTTGTCATATCTCAGGGTACCTGTCTGTGCTGCCAATTGTACTTTCTTGCTAACGCTCATGCTGGGAGGCAGCAGATACTGGCTCAAGTATTTAGGTCCCTGCCCACTGACCACACCATATGGAAAACCCAGATGGAGCTCTTGTTTCTGGCTTCAGCCCGGCCAAACTCTGGCTGTTGCAGACAATCGGAGAGTGACCTAATGGAGGGAAAATCTCTCCCTCTTTCTTGCTATAAGATTTACATTTTATGGGACCGGCATGGTAGCCTAGTGGCTGAAGTCCTCACCTTGAACACACTGAGATCTCATATGGGCGCCGGTTCCAATCCTGGAAGCCCTGCTGCCCATCTAGCTCCCTGCTTGTGGCCTGGAAAAGCAGTCAAGGATGGGGGACCCTGCACCCACATGGGAGACCAGGAGGAGGCTCCTGGCTCCTGTCTTCAGATGGGCGCAGCTCTGGCCATTGCAGCCACTTGGGGAGTGAATCATCGGATGGAAGATCTTCCTCTCTGTCTCTCCTCCTCTCTGTTATCTAACTTTGCAATAAAAATAAATTTAAAAAAAAAAAAAGTGGAGCAGCCAGGTGTTGAACCAGAACCTGTACGGGATTCCAGTGTTCCAAGCAGAGGTGTGGCCTGCTACATCACAAGGCCGGTCCCTTCTCTTCCTTTCAAATAAAATGAAAATGAATAAAAGTGGAAAAAGAAAATAAAAAACAAAATTGGATGAATTTTAAAATAAAAATCTGAAAGTGACTCACGACCACTCTGCAGGTTAATCCAATTGGACTTTCCCTTCCTGCGGGAAAGGTGGCCGTGGACACAGCTGCCTAGAACTTTCTACAAGAGGTGTGAAAAGCAGCTGGCCCATGGCCCTACCCTCTGCAGTCCCCTCTTTGCCCTCACCCCACCAGGCCTGAGCACAGCACTCACCCTTCTCCACGGCACCCCTCCACTTTCGGGCCCAGTCAGCCAGCTGCTGGGCGTAGGCCTTCTCAATGCGGGCACGCTCCTGGAAACAGCTGACCAAGTCCCCACATAGCCGGTGCCCATCCTCCACCCGCTGCACCGTGCGTCTGTAGTTGCCAGCCTGGGGCACACAAGAGAAGCGCATGTCATCAGGGAGACCTGCCAGGGGCAGCCATGCCCAGAGAAGGTGGACATTTCAGGACCAGCCCCAAGCCCCAGATCCAGCAGCTCACCTCCCAGAAACTGCCCCCTAAGGCCTCCCCTCCAGCGTCCTCTTCTGGAGCCATGGTATCCCCGCAGCACGGAATGGTGGCGGATGTGGGACTGCAGCGGGCAGAGGGGGTAAGCATGAAAGCTGGACCCATGCCTTGGAGGCTAGGAAAAGTCCCTCTTTCATCCCTGCCAATTCCACCAGAGCTAGGACCAAATGGGCAAGGCTGGGGGACCCCGGCAGCAGACAGGAGAAAGGTGTCTCCAAGCTCTTCCTCCCTCCCTGGACCTGCCCTGCCCCATCCTCCCAGCACCCACGCACCTGGACGCTAGGGGTCACTTCAGGGACCAGGTATCCAGGTCTCCAGGATGCCACGGTGACTCTGCCTTGAAGTGAGTGGGAACACAGCAGGGGGGTGAGCTGGGGGTGAGCTGGGGGGTGGGGATTGGCAAGTGGAGCGAGCTTGGAGTGTTCAGGGCGGTGCCCTGGCTCCCCAATATAGCAACTGCTGTCAGAATTCCAGATTCCAGGCAGGAGAATGCCAGGCAGGTCACACGATCCAGCAGGGATTAGGTGGTGGGCAGGAGTGGGTGGTGGGCATAGGGCCCACTCCTTTGCTACCAGAGTGTCCCTGAGGCTCTTTCTTGAATGATAAGCAGGCCAGTGATACACAGCAGGCCAAGTCCAAGGGTGCCCAACTACACCCAACAGTTCCCTGCCTTAGGAAGAGCAGAAAAACCAACCAGGAGGTCTGAATCCCAGACAGGTGCACCTGCCCAACACCTCCGAAGACAGCCTTACCTGGTCGACTTCCCTGATATTAGATTCAAGCCAGAAAGGAAGGCCCATGCAAGAGGTCCCCTGCCAGTCCCCAGGAAACACGCATCCTGCCCCACACTGTCTGAACACAGGGGACTAGCCACTTGGGGCTGCCCTCGCCCCAAGTCTGGGGTGGTAGCACAGGTCCTCTCAGCCAATCAGAACCGCATAGGAGAGGAAGGCATATCCTATCCTGAGGGGACACTATCATGGTAGACTGGAGGACTCCAAGGCACACAGTCACTCCCCCCGCCTCTGGGGCCGGTCACAGCTGTCCCTTGCACCAAGTGACTCACAGCCCCTAGAAGGAAATCGCTTCCTCCCCTGGGCATGCCCAAGGGATACAGCGGGGCAAGAAGACCAGAGTGTGTGCCTACTGTCCCTGCAGTGCCCATGCCACACGGATGACCCTCTGTTCATCTTTCCAAACCAGATGGGGGCCTCTTCCCCTGTCCCTGCATCCTTGGAGCATCCACAGCCCTTGTGACCCCTTGGTCAGGGTCTGTTCCCTCTGGGTTGGGGCGGACAGGACACATCTGGCGCCAGCCCTTGATGGGAACTTCTGGGCTTTTGATCCATGTCTTCCCAGGCTCTAGAGGCCAAAACACTTTGTTATATAAGAAGGGGAACAGGGTTGAGGCAGGGGCACCTGAAGACGGCAAAACCTGGCTTAGCCGGCTGGGAGACAGCTTCGTCTGAGTGGCGTCCCTCCCCACAGCCCCCTGCAGACCTCATACGCAATGGAAGTGAATGGACACGCAGTACCTGCTCCACCCTAGTCCTGGCCAAGCTTTGCACCAAGTTTGTCCCAGATGCCCACTAGCTGGAAAGCAAGCTGCAGCTGTACGCCACAGGGACCCAGCAGCTGTCCCCTGGCAGCCATGGGGACCTTGGGGCCCCCTGTCAGTCCCAGCCTCCAAGCTCCCTGCTCCCTGGAGAGCTGGCCCCCACCTCTTCCCTCTGTCTCTGGCCTCAGAACAGAGCCGGCTGTGTGTGCAGGGCTGGCGCAGCTCCCTCATGCCTCCCAGAGCAAACACCAGCTCAAAGCCCCAGGCACAGCCAGGCCCCCGCAGGCAGCTCCTGGCTGGATCCAGCTGTTGGGGCCGGCCCCGGTCCCCCCTGTGCATTCCTGACCTCTGCGTCTACCCAATTCAGGCTCCAATGCACCCCCAATGCCCACAGGCAGCCAGGAAAGCAGCTGGCACAGTCGTCCTGGCTTGGGACACTGGCACTACCACCCGCCCTGGGCCAGAGAAGGTTGGGGATTGGGCAGGGTCTCTACACAGCTGCCCTGGTCAAGGTATAGAAATCTGGCCTCAGGGAAGAGCCAGCTCTCCCTCCCTGCGGGGCTTTAGGAAAACTACCCCCAAACCTCCCCGTCCCCGCCCCCCCCCCTCCAGCCGCCAGAGAAGCTGGTGAAAGAACACAGCCACCCTGCCCTGCCCATCCCTGGGTCCTGAGTCACACGCTGGGCCTACGGGCCGCTTCTCTCAACAGCCCCGGGGATCTAAGAGCGCACCTGGGGGCAGTTGGCGGTCCGGGCAGGGACACCTGGTCCAGATGGGCCGGCAGGAGCAACCAGGGCGGCTGAGAGGGGGAGGTGAGAAAAGGCAACAAGCCGGGGAGGGACACGACAAAGGCGCACTTTGGGAAACCCGACCTGCCGGCCAGCCGAGGTGCCTGCTCCAGGATGACGCACTCGGCACCCCGAGCCCAGGACACTACCCGTCTTGGCCTCAACCCCGCTGCAACGCGAAGCCCAGGGGGCCCTTGGCTAGCCCCGCGCTGCCCGACTCAGAGCAGCGGGAGCCCACGCGTAGTAGGTAGGGCTGGGCCTCGCCATGAAAGCTCTGGGACTTCTGCGCCAAACTTGCTGAACTTGGTCTCGGAGGGGGTGGGGCTAGCCGGTCCCCGCGGAGGGAAGGGGGCGCCCCTGCCTGGGCGGGTTCAGTCGGTGGACTCCAACCTGGGGGCTCCCCCCGGGCAGCAGCTCCAGGAGTTAGGGACTCCTCGCAGAGGGCGAAGAGTCGCCATGGAGCGAGCCCCCTTCTGGCGCCCCAGAACTGGCGAGAGGTGGTTCAATTGGGATCCTTGGAGAGCCCCAGGACTAAGTTTTAGTTCGACGCCTTCGGTCCCCTTGGCCGGAGGAATCGTGGAACTCTCGGTGGCGCCAAGAGTGGCGCCAATCGTGGAACTCTCGGTGGCGCCCGACTCCTTCGGGCGGCAGCCGCCTCTGGGGGCTGGGGGCTGCCGGGGCGGGAGCAGGTCTCATTGCAAACTTTGAGGAGTCGAGGAAGGCAGGGCGCGCACCAGGCACGGCTCCCGCCGCCGGCACGCCGCGCGTCCCTCCCCGCGCACACTCACCGTGTCCTCTGGGGGGCCCTCGGCGGGTTGGAGGGTCCGACCACGCTCCTGCCCGAGTCCTGCTGCTCCCGGGCCTGGGCCGTGGCCACCGCCGCCTCCCGGAGCGCGCCAGGCCCTCCCCCGGGAAGCCCGGCCCCCGGACCCGCCCTCTGCTCGCTGTCCCAGCCCCAACCCCACCAGCCCGCCGCGGGGCCGAGAGGGGAGGGCGGCCGGCATCGCGGCTACCTGCGGTTCCCGGAGCACGGGGCCTTGGGGATCCACTCCAACCACCAGAGTCCCGGGGTGGCGCCGACAGGCTGCAGGGAGTCAGATTTCGGCTTTGCGCCTCCCCGATTTTAAGAGAGTCTGGTGGGCGCGAAAGAGAATCGGGCCTTGGAGGTGACGCTTGCGATACTAGGTGGAGTTCTTTGCTTTCTCATAAATTAGTTTAGGCGGGGCGCACACCCTTTTGCCTTGTAAGCCTTAGGGTTCCCATTAGACAGATGCAGCAACTGAGGCGCAGCTTGGCCAAAGGTAATGTTCGAGGGCTGGACTGCAGTGCCAAACCCGAGCCTTTGCCGAGCGCAACTTACCTTGGGGCGCTTTCAGACCAACGCGAGGTGGGGGTGGGACAAAAAGGCGGCAGCTCCTCCCCCCTCGGAATCCATAGTCCCAGAATTTGTACCACGATTCATTCTGAAATCCACTCTCTCCTCCACCCCCTTTTTCAACCTGGCCAATGTTTCCAGGTCGCCGCGATGTCACCCCACCCTAAATAAATCCCTTTCTCCCTCCTCCTCTCCCCCCCTCCCAGGGACTTTTCGGAGCCTGCCTGTTATTTATATCCACTGGAGCGGTCCAAGAATGTTCCGAGGCTGACCTAATCGCCACCTGCTCGGCCACCCCGCCCCTCCCGCTCCCTCCTGAGCCCGGTGACCCAGCGGCCCTGTGCCTTGCACGGCCAGGCGGGTGGGACGCCACGAAGCACTCCGAAGGTCCGGGCGGCACAAATTCGCTCCGGAGTTTTGACCGCCCTCTCCCTACCCACACCCCTCGTTACGAGGAGGAGCGCACCCCAAGGAAACCGGCGCTGCATCCTGGCAAGGCGGCGCGGGTGGGGGGTGTCGTTGCTCCTTGTCCTGCACGCTCACCTCCTCCCCACCTCCCTCTCCTCACCTCCCTCTCCCCGCCACCCACATGTTCCCAAAAGACTGAGTGCGGGTGCGCGGGATTTTTTTTTTTTTTTTTAACGCTAGCTGCAAAACTCGCTACATGGTGATTCTAGAACCAGGAGATATCCATGATACGCCCTTGAAGCCGATAAATCGGCTTGCCACGCGGGAGGGGGCTTTGAAGAGAAGGAATGAGGCATTCTTTCGGGGAGTGGGAGTTATACTGGGGTTTGCTGCGGACTTATCGAAGAACTTGCCTCCTCAAGGTGTTTGTGGTGCAACCTGGGCCCTCTGGCCCCAAGTCATACCCAGCAGTGGCTGTGAAACCCGAGGATGTGGCTTGGAAACAGGTTTCAACACCCACTCAATCTTGGGGCTTGGACAAAGCTTGCTCTCTCTCTCGCTCTCTCTCTCTCTCTCTCTCTCTCCCTCCCTCTCTCTTTCTCTACTTCTTGAAACATGACAGATAACCTGGCCGACCTTGCGCTGGGCCATGTGCCCCAGCTAATTAATAATTGTTAAGTAACTGGGAAGGAGCCTTGCTGGGGGAAACATCTTAATGATGGCCACAGTGATTTGTATTATTTAAAATCAGTTAACATCCCACCTAGTGCCTGCGGGCCTCTCTAGGCAACTAGACAAAGTGTGAAAACACAGGAATGAAATTAATTACAGGAGCCGCCTGTTAAAACCTCATTAAAAAATCAAGTTGGCAGCCAGACCCTGGGATCTGAGGAAACCAGACCCAAAAGAGAGACTCTGCAAACAGGGATGTTCGTCAGAGCACAAAAAGGGCCCCTGGAGCGGAAAACATCTGGCTTCCCTGGGGTTCAAATCTGGAAACAGAACGCAGAAATTGGCAGCTGATCTTAATTGCCACTAAGAATCTATTGGGAGGAAAAAACAATAAAGAAACCAAAATGCAATAAAAGGCCTATAGTGGGGGCTGCTTCCAAGATGCAAGGAGAACAGCGGTGGCCTTGGAGAGCTGACAGCCAGCTGGTGCTGCCCCCCGGGTTCAGTACCATCCTCTGGGTCTAGGGCCCCTACTACTCTGTCTGAACCACAGCTCTACAAAGGGCACTCCAAGGAACCCCAGGGCTGGATAAAAACCGAAACCTAGGAAGGCAGCTTTGCTCAGGGCACCAGGCAAATACCAGAGACTCACCTGGAGTTTCTGGAATGTCCTAACCTCTGTGTCTTCACGTTGTTTATCTATTCATTCCTTCCTCCAGCCAAGAAAACATCTGAGTTTTCACTCTCCTGCTAAGTCTTCCGATGCCCAGTGTTGGGGGTACAAGGATGAGCAGGCACAGCCCCAGGTGGACAACAGTTGAAGCCCATAAGAAAAGGAAGTATGGTGGGGAAGGAGAGGCACGGGAGACCTCTCCCTTGTCCAGCGCAAGACACTTGGTCGGTCTTGATGAGCCGGGATTAGTCATGCGTGGAGAGGCATCTAGGTGGGGCTGTCAAGGTGTGCCAAGCCCTGCAGGCATTCAGCGGGTGACTCGGTGACCTCCTGCTGAGTCTTCTTTTGGGTACCTCCCCCTTGACAAGCTTGCTTGCAGGTGCAGCCAGAGATGCAGTATGTCTTCCTCTGGGATTATCTGCCAAGAGGAAGCCATCAGAAACAAACATCCTTCCCAGGAATGGCTGATTCCTGCTGCAATTACCCCTCGATCAACAACAAGATAGAGAGATGGGTTACGTGTATCCAAAGACTTCAGCCATCACTGAGTCAGGAGGAAAGCAAAACATACCACACACTACTAAAGCCTTCAGTAAGGGTCCATGCCCAACAGACTGGGCAGTTGTCCCTAGGTGTAGGTGTAGAATTCCTAAGGAAGATGTTTATAATGTTAGAAAACTCGACAAGAATGAAGCCAAGTGTGAGGGGTGTCAATCAAAAGAAAGAATTGAGACAGAAAGGTATAAGGGTCATTGGGTCAGCCTGGGGAATGTCTACAGTGATGGAAATGTTCCACAATGGACTGTCCACTAAAGTAGCCAATAGCCACATGTGGCCATGAGCCCAAGTGTGACAAGAAGTGCATTTTTCATCTCATGTTAAGCTTTTTAAATCAATTTTAAAAACAGCCATCATTTGTGGCTAAAGAGGAAGATGCAGAGACTGTGTGGGTCTAGGATATCTCAAATACTCAATTCATGATGCACTGGAGACACACAGAAGATGATGCCAGAAAGACAAATTGGGATTGAATGGGAAAGATTTGCAAGGAAGGCCCAGGAAGTTGGACTTTGTCTTCTAGGCAGTGGAAAATACGTAAAGGAGTTAACCGCGCTGGAGGCTGGAGCTACCCTTCTTAAAGATAACATCAACCTGAGCTACCCCCTCCAGCTTCTGACTTCAGCTTCCTGAAGTGTGGACTCTGCTCAGTGCTGATAGCTTAACTGACTGGGTTCTTGCCACACTTGTAGGTGGCCAGGCTTAAGCTTCTAGCATCCTGCTTCAGCCCAGCCCTTGCTATTGTGGGTCTTTTTATTATTATTATTATTTATTTATTATTGTACTTGAAAGAGAGACAAAAACAAATCTTCCATCCATGGGTGCACTCCCCCAAAGGGCCACAAAGGCCAGCGTTAGACTGGCCTGAAACTGGGAGCCAAGTGCTTCTTCCTGGTCTCCCACAGGGGTATAGTCGCCCAAGGAGTTTAGCCATACTTCTGCTGCTTTCCCAGTCCACATAAGCAGGGAGCTGGATCAGAAGTGGAGCAGCTGGGATTTGAACTTCTGCCCACATCTGATGCCAGCACCACAGGTGGAGGATTAACCATCACACCACAGCCCCCCTTTAGTGGGGTTTTGGGATAATGATCCAATGAACGAAAGCCCATGTTCTTTCTCTCTCTCTGACTCTGTCTTTCCAACTTCTTCTCTGCTTCTCTAATTAATTAATTCATGTAAGAGATCACCCTGCAACCCTGTGGATGGAGGCAGTAAGCAGGACTCGCTCCCCTCCCCTCAAAAACTGCCTCTCCTCTCTGGTTTCTCTCCTGGCCCCCAGTCATTGCCCCTGCATTCCTGAGAGCCAGCTGAGTAAAGCATTCAATGGAAAAACTGGTCTGAGTTAGGGAGAGGGGTGAGCCTCCGTGGGGGAGGCTGTTTCTGGGTTAGGGCGCTGGGGGAACAGGAGCCAAGAAACCAACAGTGACACTGCGGTGGAAATGCTTGCCGCCTATAGGGAGAGTATCTCCAAGGTCAGGAATTTGCCTAGGGCAAATGCTATGGAAAAGACCACAGAGTTGGTGGGAGGCCCTCCTGAGTTGCACTGCGTGATCTGGGTTTCAGCTGCGTAAGGCAGCCCGCCAGAGACCCTTCTGGCCCTTCCCCGATGTCCTCTGCACCTTCTGGCTGGTGCAGGGCGTGTGCTGATGAAAGACCCCTTTTTCCCTTAGCTGTTTGTTTTTTTTTTCAAGGTTTATTTATTTTTATTGGAAAGGCAGATAGAAGAGAGACAGAGAGATCTTCCATCCACTGGTTCACTCCCCAAGTGACCACAATGATCCTCGAGCTGAGCCGATCTGAAGCCAGGAGCCGGGAATTTATTCCAGGTCTCCCATGCGGGTGCAGGGTCCCAAGACCACTGCTTTCCCAGGTCACAAGCAGGAAGCTGGAAGGGAAGTGAAACAGCCAGGACATGAACCAGCATCCATATGTGATCCTGGCGCATAGAAGGCAAGGACTTTAGCCACTAGGCTACTATGCTGGGTCGAGGGCTTCAATAAATCTTAGCACACAATGAAAGCAGCAGGTTCAAGTACTCCAAGCTCAGACACTGAAGGGGGAACTACGCATGCGTTCCAGTCTCTTGGCTTCAAGGTGGCCAAGTCCTGGCTGTTGAAAACATTTAGGAAGTGAAACTGCTGTTGTTGTTGTTTAAGATTTATTTTTTTGGGGGGGCCTGGCGCGGTGGC